AGGAGTGGCATGCAAGCAGCAGCTGTGGCTGGTGTGGGTGGCGGAACAGCCGCACAGGCCCCACAGTGTGGGGGGCTGGCGGAGCGGTGGCAGCCCGCAGGTGACACGGCATGCAGACAGTTGTGCGGCCAGTGCGGAGCAGTGCCAAGGCAGCATTTTGGCACCAGGAGCTGCTGGCAGCAGCAGTGGCAAGAAGTAGTGACCTGTGGCAGCACGCGCTTACAAGCGGCAGCAGCGCAATCAGTGCAAGTGACGGCGGTGCTCGTTTTGCCAGTTGCCAATTAAAACTCATGCGACTCGCTGGTGTGGTTTCTCCTCACCAGGAGGAGGGGGGAGGGGAAGGCATCAAACCCATCCCTACCCTGGTTGTATTGCAAAGAAAAATAAACCAGTTTGCATCGTTTGTTTTTAACATCAAAATGGGCTCTCAACTTTCTACTCAACAAAGGAGCATATATTCCCAAGTTCAGGATCTCCTAAATAGTGGGAATGTTACCATCTCTAAGAAATAGTTAAAGTGGTTTGTGTGCTGGTTATCTCTTAATTTCCCTCAGTATACCCTGCAAAATGTAGATTCTGTCTCTTCCTGGGGCAAAATTGGGAGCTTCTTAACTCTCAAAGTAGAACAGGGAGATAAAACAGTATCCAATTTTTTTCCTTTGTGCATTTTAATTCGAAAAGAATAAATAAAAAGGGAAATAAAGGGAAAGCCAGAACAAACAACCCTGGTTTCCCCTAACCCTCTTCCCAAGCCCTCAGCCCCTGAGTAGGACGAGACACGCGGGGCACCCCGATAAACGCGGAGAACCCAGCAAAGCTACAGCTTCTCTGACCCCTTGCCTCCCACTCGGCGCCCTGACTCTGACAGTTGTGCACAGACTCTAACAGAGTACCTTCCCTGCACCCCTCTACCCCAGTTCCCATACCCTAGCTTCAGTGTAAAGATGAACCCTCCCACCCATATGGTGCTGACGCACCGTGGCGGGGGTCCAAAATGGTGCCAACCGCATGGCAGGAGTTCAAAATGACACCGGCCAAGTGGCCAATCCTCTGTCTTACCTTTCTTCTTCCCACAATCCCTTTTACCTGTTCGTCCCCAACCCTTTCCTTTCCCATAACCCCTTCCTTCCCTTAGATATTTCCCCTTCCTCCTCCATGTTCCCGCCCTGCATGACATCATCCTGCAACCCCGCCCCCATGTGTTGCAGTCCTAGTTTCCACGGTTGCCACTCCCTCCCGGGTGGCTCCACCCCCTCTCATGTTCCAGTCTCCCACGCCCCAGCTTCGGGTTGCCATGGGGGCAAGGGATGCAGTACCCTGCCTCCTGGTTCCCGTGGGGGGTGGGGGTGTGGGTTGCATCCCGACTCCCATGTGGGGGGCGGGGTGGTCTCTCTACCAATTGCCACGTGGGTGGGGGGGATGAGACCCCTGCTGGTTCCCACAGGGGAGCAGGGGGGGTGACACCCTGCCTTCTGGTCCCCGTAGTGGGGGGGTGGGGGGACTGCCTCACGTCTTCCATACAGGAGTGGGGGGTAGACACTTTCCCAATCCCAGTGCAGGGGGAGTGGGCCACCTCCCAGTTGCCGCAGCGGCGGGAAATGCAGTGCCCTGCCTCCTGGTTCTCACGGGGGGTGGGAGGGTGCGGCACCTCCCTTTTCCTGCAGGGTGAGGGCGGAGCCACCTCCCCATTCACGCGGGGGGCGAATAGACCCCTTCCTGATCCCCATGGTGGTGGGGGTGGGGGGGGACCCCGGTGGGAGATATCTTGGGGATCAAAGCCAGGTAGAGCAAGCCGTACCCTCAGCTGCCCTTGTCATATATACAGAAGAAGTGGAATTAGAAGCTACCAGCCTTTCTCCTAACAAGACAAAAAGGAAAGACCCAAAGGGAGTTTGGTCAAGGCAGTGGAATCTTTAAAGGAATGTTGAAAGCTACCCTACAATCCCACGAATTAGTCCCGGCCATCCTCCGAAACCTGTTCCAGTGTCTCCTGACCCCCTCAGAGTTTGACCTGTGGGAAAACGCTTGGAAGAGTTCTCTGAAGGGACTCCTGAGAGAGCTTACGCGAAGCACCCAGGGTGCAACAGATGCAGATGGGAATAACACCACCTATGAATATCTATGCAGTGAAGGGGAGTGAGCTAACCCCAAGGACCAAGCTCAGGCGTTACCCAAATTCATTCTAGATAAAATCTGTGGGGTGACAGAAAAGGGTTTTAACCAATTACCAACGGTTGAAACTAAAGGTAGTTATATTAATATTCAACAATATCCCTCAGAGAGTTTCTTTCAGTTTTTGGATTACCTTCGTGCACAAGTGGAAAGACAAGTAGATGATCCAGTGGCACAGGCAGAACTTATTAAGGACATGGCTCAGAGAAATGCCAACGAAGCCTACCGTAGGGTTATTCTAGGTCTGCCTATCCATCTCCACCTGCACTAGCACAGATGATCAAAGCATGTGCTAAGAAAGCAGAACTCTTCTGTGCACCAGAGCAAAGGTTTGGACTGGCAAACCCAAAGACTGCAGCAGCTGTAACATCAGGAGTGAAGAGGCAACCAATGTCACCAGAGCAGCTCCAACATGTCATCTGCTTCCAGTGTAGAAAGCCAGGATACTTTGCCAGAGACTGTCCTGAATGCCAGCAACACAGAAGGAAAAATCAAAGAGAGGAAGACACCAACAAACAAAACCACTAAGACCAGAGTGCTGACCCGCCCCGCACCATGATATAAATGCAATGGGCTCCACAATGGGGAAAGCCTCTCTCTTAACAAAAAAGGGGCAGAAAGGGAAAGCAGGGTACAGGACAGCAGGAAAATAAAAATTACAAATCTTTGCTTAACGAAGTTTGGCAGCCTCACGGGCATTTCCGACTTGTGAATACCAAAGGTTTTCTTTTCAGGTCTACTGGTTGGACAATCATTGCAGTAGACCTGCTGGACAACTCACAGGACAGGACGATAAACCATACAGGACTGGACAGTGAGTATTTTGTTATTGGGGACTCTGCACACACACCCCTGGAGACTGAGGTGGCTCCCATGACCATCAAAGGAGACATAATTCACCTCATTCTCCTGTCGCGCTGCCCTCAGCCACCCTTCTATTTGGCCAACTGACAAATCCTTCCCCAGGCCATTCCCATTCCAGCAGAGGTCCCAGTAGATGAAAAAGCACCTGAAGTCTACTGGGCAGAAGTGGTTGGCGAGGACAAACCCATTATGGGATGCAACCTAACCCATGAGTCAGACCATCTCCACGTGGGAGGGTTGCTTGACACAGGGCCAGATGTGATGATCGTGCCTGAAAGGATGTGGCCATCACATCGGGAATTGCAGCCTGTGGCTGGCAAAATCCAAGGTGTAGGAGGTATCAAATTTGCAAAGATCTCAAAACACATTGTGCAAATTGAAGGGCCAGATGGAGAATTGGCTAGTGTCTGTCCATTTGTCACTGACTACAAGTGCCCCCTGTGGGGGAGAGGCACCATGTCCCAGTGGGGAGTCAAATTAGTTATCCCAAGACTCCCCCGGATTTTTAGAGGTGGCCACTGTGGAGCACCCTACCCACAAGGTAACATGGATGGATGACACTCCAAGATGGATAGGATAGTGGCCATTAAGTAAGGAAAAGCTTAAGGCACTCGAGGAGCTCATGGAGGAGCAATTGGCTAGAGGCCACATAGAAGAGACAACCAGCCCTTGGAATTTCCCAGTCTTTGTGATTAGGAAGCCAGGGAAGGATAAGTGGCGGCTCCTCCATGATCTCCAGGAAATAAACAAAGTAATTCAGGACATGGGGTCACTCCAACCTGGGTTGCCTTCCCCAATGATGCTTCCCTGAAACTGGCAATTGGCTGTCCTGGACGTCAAAGACTGTTTTTTCCAAATTCCGCTATACTCAGAAGATGCCCCACAGTTTTTCTTCTCAGTTCCTACCATCAATTCAGAAGCTCCAGTGAAGCACTACCTCTGGAAAGTATTGCTTCAAGGCATGAAATGCAGTCCTTCCATCTGCCACTGGTACGTGGCCTCATTGCTGTCCCCAGTGCGCGCCCAAAAAAGGGAAGCCATCATCCTCCACATGGATGATGTGCTTGTGTGCACCCCCGATGACTCTATACTCCAACACGCACTTGACCTAGTGGTTAAAGTTTTAACCTCTGCTGGATTCCAACTGCAGGAAGACAAAGTCCAAAGGATGCCACCTTGGAAGTACCTGGGCTTAGAGATCACTGCGCGGACTGTTATTCCACAGAAATTGGAAATCTTTAGTGATCCCAAAACCCTAGCAGATCTCCATTCCTTATGTGGGTCTTTGAACTGGGTTGGGCTTCACCAATGAGGATATAGGCCCCCTCCTCAATTTATTGAAGTAGAGAGATAGTTGGTCTCTCCCAAGGAACTGACCCCAGAGGCAAAAGCCGCAATCTGAAAGGCACAAAAGGCTTTTGGCCAAGAGGCAGGCTCACCGTTACCAGCCTGAGCTGCCTTTCAAATTCATTGTCCAGGGAAAGCTGCCATACTTCCATGGTTTGATATTCCAATGGGTCAAAGGGCAGGAAGATCCACTTTGAATCATAGAGTGGGTTTTCCTCTCCCATCAACGATCCAAGACCATCACTAAGCCACAAGAGCTGATGGCTCAGCTGATTCGGAAAGCCAGGGTAAGACTGTGTGTTGGTTTAAAAGCAAAACCAGTGACAGACTCCAAGTCAGTAATACAATTTAATAGGAAAAAAGAGAAAAAATAAAATACATGCAATAATACAAAAGAAAAACCACCGACAGAGTCAGAATACAACCTGATACCCTGTCAGTCAGGGGGTTGGTAGCAGTCCGTATAAATGGTGGCTGCAGTCCTCCTGGATGACAGATGTGGTTCAGTTGAAGCAGTGCTCCTGTAGAAGGGTGCAGTTTTCCTCCGAAGGTCCAGCGATGATGTGGAAAAGGTCCGACTTTCCTCTGGGATCCAGTGGAAAGGACTGCCTTCGCGTTCCAAACCCCAGTTTTTTATCTGGGTAGGAAAGGCTTGGCTCCTGCCCCTGGCTGGAGCATCTCCCAATGGGATGATGTAATTTTATCAGTCATGCAGTGGGACTTAATGGCCCATTAACAGAAGATATCTTCTGGAGGAAGGATGAGTTGTGAAAAGATAACGATGATCATCCCCCTGATTTTATCAGATGGCACATCAGCAGAAGATATCTCCCACAGAGATAAGGATCACCATCCCTCCCACATTTCAACAGATGGTGATAGAATACACATTTTTGCATTGTACCCCAGGACAGACTGTGTGAGCTGGCTGGTTGTGACTTTGTATGTATTCAACTCCCGGTTAAACTTTCTAATGAGGGAAAGAACTTTTTCGAGAAGTTGACCGAAGAGATGTTCAAGCACCTGCTCCAGAGCAATGCCAACCTCCAATTATCTCTGGACAGCTACATTGGACAAATATCAGTCCACAACCTCTCACAGTGTTCAGTGACGCGTCCGGGGCATCCCACAAGTCGGTGAGAAATTCCCAGACTCAGCATTGGGATGCTGATGTTGAGTTTGTGGAGGGGTGGCCCAAGGTTGCTGAACTGGCCGCAGTTGTGAGAGCCTTTGAGAAATTCTCAGAGCCAATTAATTTGGTAATGAACTCAGCCTACATGGTGGGGGTGGTGTCCAGGGCAGAGCAGGCAGTTCTCAAAGACATCGAGGAACAAGCATCTCTTCAGGTTGCTCTCAAAACTAATTTATTTTGTTTCACATCGAGAGCATCCATTCTATGTGATGCATGTGAGGTCGCATACTGATTTGCCAGGCAAAATTGCAGAAGGGAATTGTAAAGTAGACTTTCTTGCTGCCCCAGCCGAAAAGTCACACCTCCCAGACGTCTTCCAGCAGGCGAAGCTGAGTCACCAGCAATACTATCAGAATGTGCCAGGTCTGATCTGTCAGTTCCAACTAACACAGAGTCAGGCCCGGGCCATTGTGGCTACCTGTCCCAGTTGCCAGCTCCAGGCCATGCCATTGCTGGGTGTTGGGGTTAACCTTGGGAGCTGTGAAATGTGGCAGACAGATGTAACACATATTCCCAGTTTTGGTTGCCTCAGATATGTACATGTAAGCATTGACACATATTCAGGTGCTGTTTATGCCTCTACCCACACAGGAAAAAGGGCTGTGCATGCCAAACAACAGCTAGTGCAGGCCTTTTCAGTGCTGGGGATCCCTATGGAAATCAAGACTGATTACGGCCCAGCGTATGAATCCAAGTAGTTCCTAGAGTTTGTCCAGCAGTGGGAGTGGAACATAAAACCAGTATCCCCCACTCCCCACAGGCCAAGGTGTGGTTGAGTGTGCCCACCAGATGCTCAAGCAAGTCCTGTCTAGACAGAGCGGTTCAACAGTGTGGATGTCGCAACAACAAAAGCTCTGCACAGCCATGTTTGCCATCAATTGTGTAAATTGTTCATTTGAAAATATGAGTCCTCCAGTGGTATGTCACTTTACACAGCAGTGATCAGTTTAAGTTGTCTCAGCTTCCACCGGTCTTAATTAGGGACCCAGAAACTTGGGAGACCAAGGGCCTTTAAGAACTTGTTACCTGGGGGCATGGCTACACATGCGTATCTACCCTCTCAGGCCCACGTTGGATACCCCAAAAGTGGGTAAAACCTTTCGTCCCCAAAAATCCAGCTCTAGCGGAAGGGGATGAGGAGCAAGTAACAGTTGCTTCAAAAATAAGATGCCACATGGAAGAGGAGAGAAAACCTTCCTAAGATCTGGTCACATTCTGGCAGAAATAACGACCTTTAATGTGCTTTAAAATTTTTGTTTTCATTTTTAGAAAAAAAACAACCTCCCACCCAGCCTTACGATAAGCCCCATCCAAGTTGTCATCCTGTTCGCACTGAGCAGTCTTACAGCTGCGTGGATTGTCCCTCAGCCATGCTAAAACATCTGGATGACTTTAGCACAGACACTCCAATGCCAGGAATTTGAAGGACTTTGTTGCATGAACCTGACCTCAAAAGCTCCTAACATCCATGCAGCCCTCCAAGACATGAAAAGCTTAATCAGACAAGTGAAGTAAGAATCTGAGGATTGGTACAGTGAACTGTTTAAAGGCTGGGGACTCACAGGATGGTAGACTTCAATACTTAAAACAATTTTGTCAGTTTGTTGTTGTTCCTTTCCTTATAGTGTTGGCATTCGGAATTCTATGTTACTTAATTTTCAAAGCAATTAATGGTCTAATTTCTGCTACTCAGAAGTCAACCACATGGAGTTGACAAACCAAAAGCAGTCTAACTTGCCCACAAATCATAAGTGGTGGGCAAATCCATATTCTGAATCAGAATAAGTCTGATGCCTTCCATTTAACTTTATTTAACAGAAAAGGGGGAGATGTATTGCACTAAGAAATTGTTTTATATGTGCACTGAATGGTTTATCCCATTCTTCCCCCGCCAAGTTGTGGCGTGGTAGAGTCCTTCTTTTCACCCCTCCCCATCAGCAGCGTCCTATTGTTCATGGGTCTGTTCCTCCCCTCCCCTTTCCCCAAGTTTAAAAGTGCCTGCCATCTTCTCTCTCTCACTCTTTCTGCTTTTGCCATGTGCATGACACAATAAACTGTGAACTATTTTTCCCATGGGAGAAAAGAGCCTCCTTTGGTTTTTTGCCTTTGTTTATGAGGATTTCCCATCCATCTCTGGTCCAGAGCTAGCCAGAGGACCAGAGAGGAAAAGGAATTTACCTCAGATAGACTGTCACTCAGACTGTTGTCCCCCACTGATGGATGTGTAGAAGAAAAGGCATGTGGCAGGACCACGACTTACCTGTCAGCAGCCTAGCGTGGGGACCTCTGTGCTTGGTAAGGGCATCATCTGTGCTTCTCTGGCCCCTTATCCTGTAGGGCTCCTTTCTGCAACATAGTTCAGACCGAAGTGTGCCTGATACTGTCAGATGTTAAATATAAAATTATATGGGGATATTACATCTTTGGGAACCTCATTGAAATGTCTCTGGTTCCAGCTGGGCTTGCTCTGCAATACTGTATCATGTGTGGGTGAGCAGAGAAAGGGATTCTTCAAATCTCCTAAGAAAGAACTTCAGAACTTGTCTCTGGAAGTAAACAATGGCTAAAGGAAACTTGATGGGATCTTCCATGAAAATAGCAGCAAAATGAAAAGACTGTCAGGGACGCTGCTTGCTGCAGGGAGAAAAACTATGACTGAGGTGCAGGCAGATGAGGAAGATCTCAATTTCTATCCTGTAACGATTAGAAAGGGTAAGAGGGAAGTGAGTGGAACAAAAGGCAAGCAAGTACTTGGGAAGGGAAAAACCTCAGGTCTAGTCTGCTTTACCAACCTAAAACCGGATTGACTTAGTTATTCGTGGTGGTAAGGCAGTGACTTCCAGGATGCTAGGAGATGGATTTGCTTTCTGCAAAAATTATTTGCCAGGCAGCTGCTGGTGCTATCCAGTGTGCATATTTGGAGCTAGTGATTTTCCTGTTGAAGAACTCAAAAGAATAAAGCTTGACATCCTTAGGTTCACTCTAAAGGGAAATGCAGGGCATTTTAGCATGGCATGCCATGACAGACTGATATTGGCGTTCTTTCAATGTTGAAAGCTTGCTGTGTGCTCTGGTCCACAGGGTATTGCTGGCCTCACTTCTGCATGGAAAACTGTCCTTCTGCCCCAAATTTCCCACGAAGTCATGGTCTCCTTCCCATAACCCTGCAGCATTGCTGTGGGCCGGGTCTGCTTGCTGAGCTGCTTTCACTCCCCTCAGCCTATGCTGCTCACTCTGTGTCTCTGGTGGCAGTAGTGGGAGTTGCATGCTTGGCTGTGTTTGCAAATTTGGCTTTTAGCTGCTTGGTCTCCCTTTTGTTGACTGCTGGAGAGATCATACAGAACATACAGAGGGACATGCAGTGAATAACGATGAAGTGCCTGCTTTGTGTTACTGCTTGATCATTGTTTGAAAGAGAATCTTTGTGGTGTTTGTGTTCAAAGCTTCTCTTGAAGCAAAGGCAAGCTTAAAGGGAAAGAAAAAGTGACAGAATTTGATATCCCAGCCACCACCTCCCAGACCAGCACCCTTTCAGACATCACTGGACTCATTCAAGAAACCCTCCCTACCTTTAACAAGTAGCAGTAAGGATGCTGGAGGTGAATTATCTTAGGAGGAAAATTCTGCTATCAGAGTGGGTATGACTGCTCTGTTTAGCTGTGCTGAATTATTTTGGTTAGATGCTTCTGTTGTATGGACCAGACTCCAATGACTGTAATACACAGCTCTGCAAAACAGCTTCTTAGAGCTCTCTCTGGAGAAGGCAGTGTTTTCCATCGAGAGAAAGATGAGATTGCAAAGGCTGCACTTACCTCCCTTAAAAACAAATAAACATTTCCACAGTGTGAGGTAACTAAGTGTTTTCCTGGTATTTTGTAACTACTTTCTTTGAATAGAGCGAGGCTCTGTTAATACTGTGATACTGGAGCAATACTCTCTCTAACTGACACTTGCAAAATCTCTTCAGTTTTGTATTTCATTATTTGAACAGATCTTACCCTGAAAGGTTTTGCTTTAGTAAAGGAAAAGCAGATGTGTGTACATATGATCCAGAGTCATGCAAGAATATGGGTATGCACATTTGCCTTTTTCTAATAGGAGATTCAGACAGGAAAAAAGGTCTTTATTTCATGGCCATCTGTGATCCTCTATTCAGTTAAACCAAGGGACCCCACATCCTGGGAGTGCAGGAAGCTGTGCATGCATTTAGTGTAAATGCAGTAATGCTTGAACCAGGAAGGCATGGCAGCAACCCACCAGCTCATCCAATTTTCAGTACTGAGTGTCCTGGATTTTCCTCCTGGTTGCTTATCTGTAGGCAGTGAAAGAAGACTGAATCCTTTACAGATTTGTCCGTGGTCATGGGGGGAACACAGAAAAGGGCACATGGTGGCATCAGCAGGAATAGATCATGAGCACAGTGCTTTATCTAGAGCTAGTGAAGATTTTACTACATATAACTCATCCTGCTCTGTCCTTCTTATCTCTCCTTCAGCCTTGCAAAACGTATTTCACATACACAGTGTCTCCCTGCTTGTGCCAGTTATCTGCCTCTCAACAACTACTTATTCTTCCAAAGTACTCTATTACTGCTTGGATTTGATTTTTATATATATAAAATCATTTTGCTATTGTGCTGCTTGTGTGTGGATGCAAAACTGCCTTAGCTCCTTGCTCTCCATCTTGCTGCAGTATTGATGTTGCTATACATGGTGGTAAAATTAATTAAATTATGTTCTCTATTTATGAACTAGTTTATTACTTTAATTATTTATTGATACTGCAGCTAATTTGATTTAGGCAATATTTAGTTCTGTTTCAGTAACTTCATTTTTAAAACAAACTGCTGATTTGAATTCATTGGCATTAAGGACCTGTTATTGACTGATATTGGCCTCAAACTGTATGATGAAGAGAGTGGCTGTGTGCCATGCTAAGCCTTCAGCCCAGAATGTTAACAGCAACCTGAACGTATTTTTCTGGGAATATTTCTTTGGGAAGCGTATGAAGACTTGCAGTTGTTTAAGGGAAGTCAAACCCCTTCAACAATTTCTGTAGCTTCGGTTTATAAAAAAGAACAAAGTAAAGAATGCAGAACTGAACAACTACAATCTCCTACTTTTGTACCTCCATCATAGTTCAGACATGCTCTTTCCAACAGTTATTTGTTGGGAATTAGTAATATGACCTGTAGTGGTAACATTCATCTGCTCATCTGTGTATCTCTCCAGGTCTGCTCTCCAGTTGGAAGAGCTTAATTCAAAACC